TATATCGAGATAACGAGATAATAATAGTTATATACGATATAAGAGTGCATAAAAAATAAATAAAAATCCATGGCCGTTCTCGGCTTCCGTACAAAACATCTCTGGATATGCTGCTTTCCTTCGTCATTTATGATAGTAAACTGATTATCTTGACTGTTTGTCGGATAAAACAAGTAATTTGAAAATGCCACATCATATTTTATGGGCAAAGCAATAAATACATTTAATCAAACTGCATTTTCATTACAGAACTTAAAAAGCAAGTGATGGTATAAGATCTTTTGCTTAAGTAAAAGTAGCAATACTCTGTTAATGGTAACAACTTCATATGCTGCTGTAACTTCGTCTATAGTAAAACATTATAATTTATGAGTTGATTATATTTTGTATTCATAGTTTGAATCAGCAATGTATCTAAAGCTGTCAAAGAAACGTAGTGGACTAAAGAGTAACATAAAATGGAATTAACTCAACTCTTCAAAACTTATGAACAGTACTTGAGTAAATGTACTTTCTGCTTTTGTCTAAATGTCTAACTTAACTTAACTGTTCAAATTCAGCCCAGACTCAATCAAGACATCTACATTTTTTGACCTAAAAATCACTAAATAAGTGCTTAAATCAAGTATCAAATCAAGTTTTTATACTTGGATTTCTTTCTGAACCAGATGAGACTAACTCACGCAGCCTGTTGATATCCGCCTCCATCTTCTCCATCCTCTTGAGCATTCCCTGACCCCTGATGGAGTCATTATGGTGGGCCCTCTGGAGTCTCTCCGAATGGGTATGTACTTCCCTCTTAATAGAGCCAAGGTATACCAGAGCCGTAACTACGGCTAAAACCAGAAGTAATCCTTTAATCCAACCAGATCTCATCCTGGAGCTTCTGTGCATTGTATGTGCTTTGTTTTACCTCGCATTGAAAGAATGGGAGGACAACTAAGCCCCTGCCTTTAATTTCAGGTGCTCTCTCTCCTTTCCTTTTTTCTCCACCCCTTCCACATACACACTTACACAAATCCAGTCACACACATTGACACACCATTACTGTGTTATCTGATACCCTGAGGTTCACACCAGATTTCCAGGACATATAGGTTTTCACTGGGCTGCCTCGTCGTTGCACTACACCTGTGGTGCAAGGTGTAAACAATTAGCTGTAGTTACCTGGGAGGATACAAAACCAATAGTAGTCTGCAGGGAACAGGAACAGGACTGACAGGACAGAAAACTACTCTTACTATTACATATTACATATATTCTTTGACCTGTCTGATAACAGCATATGTGACAAGTGTGGTTTTTCAGGTTTGATCATGTATCCTATCTACAAGAAGCAAGCAAACAAATGAAGGAAAAGTTAGTCAAGTCAAGATTTAATTCTTTGTCATGCCACACATTTGCAAATAATTCTTCAAAATAATAAATTTATGTGCAAATGTTTCACTAAATTGTACCCAAAATAGCAGGGGACAGGAAGGAAATGCTAAAAATGTATGCTGAAAAAGGGGCTTTTTTCCCCTCATCTCTTCAGTAAAAGCGGCTAATTTAAATGTGTTGTACGTGAACACCCATCTCAGTCTTTGCCACATTTACCAAATCAATTTCTGTTTTTTATCTTACTAAACAAAGTATTTTGGAATTCGAAGTAAAAATGACACAAATCTTGTTCTATATAAACAAATCAGACATACAGTACTGTCTGGTTTCAACACTGAGCTGTAAAGTCTGAACATAAAGATTATATAAAACATAATTCTCAGTATTATATAAATTTTTTATCATCCTAAAGATTTGCTTTAGCCCCTCAGTCATATCAATGGTTCATCATTAAAACAATGCCTCACCACACACACACACACCACAAATTGTACCCTTTTTATATACACATATTTGTTTATCCCAAATGAGTATCTGTTTCTTCCAGTGAACCACACATGGTGACTCACAGTAATGAGTATGAACAAATAACGTTGCTAGGAGCCACACAGTGGTTCGTTGGGAATTATGGAAATGATGTAAGGGCATTGACAGTCCCCGGATCAAAACACCAATTCAACACCACACCTGTAGAATTCAGGACACCCATTCGTCTTATTAAAGGAAATTAAAAGAGGAGAAATATTGGTGAATGTATTAATGATTTTTATTATCTACTATAATAAAATCTAATCTTTTCATTTGAGTCTGTAACTGAAGTTTTCATTGCTATCATGACTTTTTTTAGTCCTTGCATTTTCCATATTGGATATAATCTCTTTATTGTATTGTATTCTTATTCTGTCTCATTTTTGTGTCATTACTTATATTACGTATTTTTTTTACTTTTTAAAATTAGTTTGGAGCATTGAAGCTGTTCTGTAGGCCTGTGGTGACCTTATGAATGAATGAATTTCTCAAGAAGCTGTTGAAATATAAAACAGGATTTTACATCCTTGTATCTTCTGGAACACAATATGCCATCTGTCTGCCTTTGTGTCATCTGAAGGGACAAATATGTACATAGCTGAAGAGCTATTTGCAGTGTTTGGGAAACATTCTTGATTTCATCTTCAGAGTAAGGATATAGCACTCAATAAAAATGTATAATTTTGGAACACTTCCAGAATATCTGTGTCCATTGTGTGAAACAATGTTTGTAACTTCCAGCCAACCCTATCCCGACTTGTGCAAATATTACCCATAAAACTTTATGATGAACCACTGCATTAACGTGTTCTTAAGCAACTTGGTAAACAGTATTAGTAAAGTAGAAAGATGAGGGGAGGAGTCCTTGCTGGCTGATAGTGGAGGTGTAGAGTTCATACATGCTTTGTTTTCAGACACAAGATACATTTTCCAGTGTTCCCAATTGCCTGCAAAATACTGTGTGACAAAAGACACCGAGGGCCACTGGGGATGTTAAAAGTCACAATCCCTCAGGCCGTGCAGTGATATGACCCAATCAGAGATAATAGCAGATCTGGGTTGATATCTGCAATCTGAGATCACAATCTTTTTTACAGTACAGTAATGACAGTCTGTGTTCATCAACACTTCTGCTACTCTTAAATTTAAGAGCGCTCTGGAGAACAGCTGTGCATGCAATTAAAAAAAAAATGTTTTCTCAAGATCATTTAACTCATGATCGCTCTAATCGCAAGCATGGTCGCTCTCGGCTTCCGTACTATTCTGACATTTTGGGAAATGCACTCATTTTCTGGTGGAGAATGATACCACTCTTATACCTGTCCATTAAATATGAAGCTACAGCCAGCAACTGATTAACTTACCTTAGCATAAAAAAATCTCTAATCCTCTAGCTCCACTAATTAACATATTTTATATTTTGCTTAATTAGTCCAGAAACGTGTAAGGGAGCTTTTGATTTGGCAGATGTTGTAACCTGGACACACCCAAATGCAGCCTTACGTTTTGGACTATTCCTGAACCAATCAGTTTAATTTTATTAATATTTAGTTAGAGAGAGAGAGAGAGAGAGAGAAGAGGAGAGCAGGCCGTGAGGAGGAAGAGAGAGACCAGAAGGAGAGAGAAGAGACGAGAGAACGAGAGAGAGGAGAAACAAACAGTAGCAACAAAAACTTACACTTAACCTAGTTAGTGCACTCGATTTGATGATGAACATTGAAGGAAGATGATGACGACAACCATCGACAGTGAAAAAGAAAAACATGTGAGATCAGTGCCTGAAATGATCTGACTCTCCGGTACCAGCACTACATGGATATAAAAAACAAACAAAAAACGCCAAAAGGATTAGGGTTAGGATTATATTGTAGGGTTCTGGTTTATTAGAGTACTGGCACCTTTTTAGGTCCAATTCAGGCAACTGTGTGAGAAAAATCCGTCAAAAAGTCAAACACTTTTGATATACAGTATAGCAGCTAATTTAATTCATCGTTCTTCCTATTTACATCAGCAGCTCATGCCAATTTTAAAATCATAACATTTTATACCTCTAGGAGACACAAAGTTAAACTGCTTTTACATTTTATTTTATTTTATATATGTACATAATATACAGTATTTGCACACAATAAGAGAAAGGGGAGAAAATGATGAGCCTGGTTTAAAAAACAAACAAACAATTAAATGCCAGTCTTACCAACCATAGCGCTTCCTGAATGTGAGATGTGGGGGATCAAACAATCTGAAAATCTATAGACACATTAACCTGTACTAATAACAATGTGACAATTGAGTCCACAAAGCACACATTTGACTGTTACATGAGCTTTTTACTATATATAGCAAAATAATAGCTCAAGGTGAAAGTTGCATATGTTTCCAAAGCATCATGTGAAAACATATCACTTTAAATCTATAGCAGCAGAAATAAAGGAAAATGATTGTTTACAAGCATCTTTTAAAAAAATTGGTGATAAAGCTAAAAGGACAGCAAGAACTGACTGGCTATCAGTCAGTCAGTGACTCGTAACACTGGGGTGAAGAGGTTTCACCCGGACAAGTCGGGACAGGCCCAGCCGCAGTCCTTGACCTGGAGACTTCACTGCTGGACTCTGGGATGAAGAGGGACTTCTACCAATTTGAGCTGGGGATAAAAAAGTAATAACATAAGTGTTAAATTTACTGAAAACATACAATTGGTGTCTGTAAAGGTTTATATTTACTGCTGTAGTGCACCCATACTGCACCTGGTGGGGTCCACTTGGGTATCTTGCCCCCTGCTGGGCTCAGAGAGAATGCTGGTTTGGATGTGGATGCAGGTTTCGATGTGGAGACTGTGGGGGACGAAGCAGGTCTTTTGGGTGCAACTTTGGCTGTTGGAGGACTTCTCACCGGTGTGGAAGCAGCTGTGACAGAAAGCAGTTCTCATAACAACGACCAGATTAAATTACGATCACAGCCAAAAGCTGAATCTTCTCTGATGAACTTACCTGCTGCCTGCGATTTGGACTTTGGTGGTTTTGATGCTGGTTTTTCTTTTTTGGAGGGAGGAGACTGTTTGGTCTTCACATTCTTGGTTACTTTCTCCTTCTTTTTTGTTTTGCTGACTTTCTTCACTGTGAATTCTTCATCTTCGCTCTCAGCTGGTTCACTAAAATCTTCATCACTTTCTGAATCTGGAAAGGCATTATTTGTTGTTAACTCACACAAGAAGAAGAAAAAAAAGCATAGAAAATAGGTAGTTAGAGAAAATATTTAAGGAGGGATGACAAGGTGAGAACCTGGTGTCAGTTTGGGCTCATAGTCTTCATCTTCATCGGTTTTTCTCTGCTGCTCACTGGCTTTAGCAGCAGCCTTCCTCTGCCTGGAAAGAGCAAGTGCCTCCTTCTCTGATGTGATTTCATTGAGGCCTAAGAAAACAAAAAATTAACAGCTGCAGAAAATGTTGATTTCTATCCTTATCAAACACAATCGAATTGGAAGGGAAATGTATTTGGCAAGGATGAGGAAATTAAATGTGCAACAAAAGATGTAAAGTGGACAAAAATAAGGGGGATTTACCAAAAACTGCACCATCCACACTGCAGTTGGACAAGTGCGAAGTCGCTGGATCTGTGTTTTCATCTACCGGAACTTGAACCTCGACACCTCCTGGAGAAATTTAACAGGGATCTAAGTTGACAACCCTTTAAACAATAGACAATTATATTCAGGTTTTCAAAGTCAAAGCATACCTTTACTGGTGGGAGGACTGTCCTTTATCCCGTCTGCATTATTGAGCAAGGATAGTGTAATGGCTGCTTCGAGATCTCTTTCATGCAGTCTCTCATCCAGTGGTCTTCTGAGAAAGACAGATTGAATGTGGAGAAGTTTCAAGCCATGTTGTATGCATAATGTGAGGTCATGTTAAAAATTATGTTTACATAATTTATTTTTCTCCACAGATACCTTAAAAAAAACCAACAGATTAATTAATTTCACTTTTGAGGACAAACTTGTGAGACTCAATCTTTTGTTGCTCTTTAAAATGTGACTGTTTAGCTACCAGTGTGAGGTGAGACGCTCAACACAAATCCAAGTGGCTGCAAAGGACCTAAACTTGTTCTGTTTCCTTTTTGAAAACTTAAAAAAGCCACACTCTTTCCTGAGTTTACAAATGTGATTGTGCTTTGTTGGCAGCAAAGTTTGTCAACACTGCACATCTCTATCTGCATCAGTGGGAATAAAACCGCAATGGAGACATGATGACATTTACTTTGAAGGTGGTTCTTTGTTTTAACAGTACAGCCGGCTGTGTATATTTACATATGCTAAACCAACAACCACAGACTGACTTGTTGTACAAAAGATTTGCTCTTTTTCTCTCATTCTGAGCTGGTATATAGATCTGCAAGCCATCTTAATCATGGTGCGTAAATAATCCACTGTGTCACATTATCCGTTCGACTACCTGTTCTTCTGGCTCACTGCGGACTGTGAGTTGGACTCCTGACTGGAGGTCTTGCTCGATGATTTCTTGTGCTCCCGTTTGACATCCTCCCTGGGTTTTTTGCTGGGTGGAGCCTTCACACAGGCAAAATCCTCATCTGTCACAAACAGAACATGGAGATACATCAGTGGTGAGAGAAGACACTGAGTCTGTTAATGTATGCCTGTGTGTGCTCTTTTCTTTCTATCTCAAGTCTCCTGCAGATGAGCTGTAACTACTGGCACCCTTTAAAAAAAAAAAGGCTCAAACTTCACAGTGAGTGAGCCCACAGGATGGCAAACAACGACCTGTGTTATACAGAGACATGTAAGACTACTCTTGCATTATTAAGTTCACCCAAAAATGGGCCAGTAGTATTTTCACACAGTCACTTAACTTCTGCTGCTGGACTTCATCATTATAAAATTAACAAAATGTACTCATTTATTTAAGTATCCAGACATTATTAACACATCCTCTCTCTCTTTATGTTTGTATAAAGTGGCTCTTTTTTATTCTTTATTCTATGCTTCTATTTTTATTTTTATTTATATTTTTCTACGCTTGATTCAGATTCTTAGGCAAATTCCTTTTATGTGAAAACTTACTTGGCAATAAAGCAGATTCTGATTCGGAGAAGAGGTGCAGATTTTGTAATCAATACTATCCACAGACTACACAATAATGCATTTTGAGTATAACACTAAACGATTCCCATCAGAGGGGATTTAGAAGTAGGTATATGTGCCAACTGAGAAATAAATAGTTATACTCTGTGTGTGTGTATAGTGTTGGGCTAGTTACTCAAAATATGTAATTTATATCTATTTTTTTAAAGGTAATATTATTACTTCACATATTACTCTCTGCCAACAGTAGTTAGTTACACTACTAGTTATATTACTTTTCTGCTACTTCCCACAAAATTGGTAATTTTCTCCCAAAAAATTCAGACTTACAACTATTAAAAATCTGGTTGTTTTTTGGGGTTAAATTCAAAGTAATGTGAATATTTCCAGCCGCTGAATAAAAGTGTTTCCATATTCCAAACTAGTTTCCTCCACGATTACACAAAAAGTGATTGCATTGTTGGATTTCAAGTTAATTGTGTTATTTTTGGGGGTGTTAACTTTAATATCATTACTGAAATGCATTAGTAAGCAGTTACACTAGTAGTTAGTGGAGAAAGTCATATTATTACTAGTAATAAATTACTTCCCAACACTGGTGTGTATATACACATATATATAGAGCTCAAAATATATATAAAAATAGGACAAATAACACTGCAGACTACATAAACACAGCTGTATGCATGAAATTAATAGATTAAAAGGCCATAACGTCTCACCATCATCAAAATCCTTGGCTTCACAGTAATTCACAGTCTTTGTCTTCCTGTGCATCAACAACAAAACAACAGCATTCAACAGGAGAGTGACAATATCAGGCGATGAATTAAGGTTTTAAAAACAGGTTAAATGTGCTTTACAGACCTCGATGGTCGCTCCATTGTTTGTGACATTTACGAGTATTTTTATGAGGTTAACATCAACGTTAGGAGCTAATGTGAGCAAAAGTAGCTTCAGCTGTCGGTAGTTTTCAGATCCTCGACTTTAATCCGAAGATTCAACGAGTGAAACGAGTCTAAAATAGCGAAGTTAACGCGTTAATTTAGTGTTATTTCTGTTACACAACAGACGGAAGAACTTTTTCAACCAGCCCGCCTGAACCGAGGTGACGTTTTGTTGACGAATTTGACGAATACCGGAAGCCGATTCGTTTTATTATTATTAAAAAAAGAAAAAAAAAACTCGATTTAAGTAAATAAAAATGTGTTATTTAGCTTAAAGTTTAAAAATAGAGTGTACTCAATTTTTTTTTTTTTTTTTTTTTAAAGGAGAATTGTCGAATCTGCTTGCGTTAAATTACCACGCAGCTCTTGAACTGGACCCAACGGTGCTCAGTCTGGTCAGTAACTGTGTGTTTTTGTGAAATTAAGATACTTTCTAAAGGAAATATAACATGTATAGGGTATGTTGTACCTGAATAGTAAATGTGTGTCAATGATAATGTCACGAATGTTGCTGTGTTGTGGCTGTGAGCATCTAGCAGGGCCAGAAAGCAGATTGTTAGGCTAAGAAAACCAATTTAATTTGGCCTTTAAACATCTCAACAGTTACAATTACTGAAAGGTCTCCATCACAAATTCAATTAAAATCACTTTAAAAAA